TATAAAATATACAAAATATTTGTAAAATTTAATGAAGTACATAAGATGATGCCTATGATGAAAATTAAAAAGTAGGGTTTTTTTTTATTTCTCTTTTGAATTTTTAGTTTATATTTATTTTTACAAATAAAATAGTTGTTCTATATAATTTTTTCATCAAAATTGTTTTATTTTTCAAATTTTCCATTTTACAATTGCTCTCACTCTAAGTAATTATATAAAGTATACAAATAAAAATAAAAATAAAATGGGGCTAGGGGCACCCAAGCCCCCAAAATGGTTTTTTAATATAGTTTAAAAAATAATAAATTTATGTGTTTTTAATAAGTTGTCCCCAAGTTCTTCATTTTATTTTTTTATTTTTTTTTTTAAATTTAATTTTATTGATTTGCCTTTCACTATTCAATTCTTTTAAATAAAATAATAAAATTTTATATAGTTTTGTTCAAAATTTTCAATTCGAAACACATTATTTTTGTCTGATTTTTTTTTTTCTTTCTTTTTGCACTACTGCACCAAAAGATATGAAATTGATAAAAATAAACTTATAATTTAAACAGTCAATGCTCATGAGTATTAAGATTAGTAATAATATATGAAAGACCACAATTATTGTTAGCATTATATTCTCTATTATACAAGTTGTATAAATCAATTCAATCGATCCTAATTCAAATTTTATATCACAGCCTTGATAGTAAACACACTTTTAAACAACAAAATATAACTTAAAGAATACACGAGATAATTGCAAAAAGTATCCCGCACTTATACCCCGTTATCACTTTTGTCATGTATTTATCTCGCTGACAAAATATATCTCATATATTTATAAAAGTCAATACTTATGTCCTTTGCCGCGCGTGACACTCACACCACGCGCCCTTACGTGCGGCCACGCGCGACCAAATAATAGAAATAGCGACTTTTGCAAACATGTAGGATATATTTTGCCAGCGAGATAAATACAGGACAAAAGTGATAATGGGGTATAGGGATGTCAACGGGGCAGGTTCGGGACGGGTTTTGCAGGCCCCGAGACCCGCCCCGCTAGAAAATATTAGGCTCCGAGACCTGCCCCCCGCTTCCACCCGGCAAACCCGTTTATTTTAAAAAATATATAATAATAAATATTTTTTTAACAATCGAATACTAAAACAAATAGCATTAAAAACACAAAAAAAAATTTAAAAACAATCAAATATTGATCCATAAAAATAAGATAAATAAATAAATAATATATTTTTATTATATAAATATACAAATATTAGGTATAATAATTTTAAAAAAATATTTGGAGCAGGCCACTAATTGAATTTTATATTTAAAATTATTTAAATAAATAAATAATATATTTTTATTATATAAATGTACATATATATTAGTTATAATAATTTTAAAAAATATCCGAGTTCGGATCTGGGTCCGGGTTGGGGCGGGTTTTTAGTCAAACCCGTAACCCGCCCCGAACCCGACCGGATTTAAAATTTAAATCACAACCCGCCCTGAAACATATTATTTAGACCCGAACCCGCCCCATTAAGAGCGGGTCCGAGGCAGATCCGGGGTTAACCCGCCCCATTTGACATCCTAATGGGGTATACATGTGGAATATTTTTTGTAATATTCCCAGAAATACAGTCATGTAAAGATGATTTGGTGGTGTAAAGGTGGACTTGCAGGTTCTCATACTTAAAAAAAAAAAAAAAAAAAAAAAAAAAAAAGAAGAAGAAGAAGAAGAAGAAGAAGAAGAAGAAAGAAGAAGAAGAGAGAGATTTTTGACAACTTCGTTAATATGGAACCAAATATATATATATGTATATATAATTAAAGATTTGTGCTCAAAAGAAGATCAATATACTATCTCAATTCTAATTCAAAGTAGTTTATTTATCATTTTCATTCATACTAATAAGAAAATGTTCCTTTCAGTTTTTTAGTAAAAGTAATTCTCCCTCCATTTTACATAATTTGTCTCTATTTTTTATTTTCGTCCGTCCTATATAATTTATCTTTTCCATTTTTGGAAATATAATTATACACTTTAATTATATTTTAAACTTTATATTTTATAATTTTTTAATCTAAATTAAAGTATTTAGTTATCTTAATATTAATCTATAATTATTTTTGCTATACAATAATTATTTTTACTAATATACTTCTTAATTACTTACTAATCATACTTTACCTAAATTTATGTGTCTACAGTAACACGTCCAAATTACCTAGGACGAATGGAGTAATACATTAATATCAAAATACTATTAACTTTAATTTAAATTACAAATATATCATTAAATATACAATTACTTTATATATAAAATCAAATGACAAAAATGTCAAAATCTTTTATATACTTTTACTAACCAACATAATACTATTATTTTTTAATTTATTATAAACTTCCAAATAACTCATTTCAAATGAGATGGGGGAGAGTATAATTTTTTAGTGATTAAATTCAAACTTAGATATCTTCAATGAATGAAGAGTTAGAGATGAAACCATAATAAATTAACAATATTATTTCCACTAATATATATAATATACTAGCATTTAAATCCGTACTATGCAATAGATATATAACCATAAATTATATAATATTTAAATTTATTTATTATAATATTTTTTCAAAATTTCAATATTCTATATATGTAATATGATTATAATAAATATTATAGTAATATAAACTAAATAAATTAATATTGAATTTGATTGATGATATAGTATCAAATATATTAATCATTAAAATTTTTATTCAATTAAATTAATAAATTAATAAAATGACTTTAAAATGTACCTTATTCTATAATTATATTTTTTCTATTTATACATAAATAATAGGTAAAAAATGCGTTGATATATTTTTTATAAGAAAATAATTATTTATACAATCTTATAAATTAATTAAAATTTATTAATTCAAATAAATTATACCCTAGTTTAAACAACAACCAATATTTGAAAAAAGTAAAAAATGGAAAGAAATAAAAAATAAAAATAAAAAAAATAAAAAAACACACTAATTAAAATGATAATAACTAAATAAATATTTTGTAAAAATTTGCCTTAGAATATATTTTCTATATAATAAATGAGCATTTGGGGTGAAAAATAATTTTTTACCAATTTTAACAACGATTATTTTTATATAATCAAATATTAAAAACTTTGTAATAAAGATATCCATAATTTGTGCATATATTTCGAAATAGTAAAACATAATGTACCGTTTTATAATTATAAAATATATTTCTCATATAAAATAATTTAAATTTATATGTAATAATAAATTATACTATTACAAATTAATTGAGCACTTTCGATTAAAATTTTAAAAGATATATTGATTGAAAATTTTATAATAATATTTTTATGTAAAATTATTTTATAAACCAATTTTATTTTAAATGAATATTAATAAAAATAAATATAAATTTAATGCTGATTTAATAAACTTAACATGCAAGTAAATATAATAATATGGTAAAACTAATAAAAGAAGAAAATTAGGTAAAATAAGTTTTTCAGATTAAACTTATAATTATAAATATATAATTATTTAAAATAAATTAAAATTTTTAAATTAAGTCTAGAATAATATTATAAAGCATTGTTAATTAGAAAATAAAATAAAATAATCTCTCTAAATACATCAAATATTATAAAGCAATCTTAAAAACTCAACTTCTAATCTTAATAAAAAATAAATGTACAGAAAATAATAAAAAAATTTAATACTAATAAATTTAATAATTTCAATTATTTTTTGAACTTTAGATTTTCAATTCATTTCAATTTTAATATAGATCTGTCAAAAATATCGAAAACATAATCTATAAATTTCAATAAACTTTTAAAATTAAAGAAAAAAATAAATATAAATACTATTAAAATAGTCGATTCACTTTTCTTAATGTTTTCTTCTTTAACTTCACCTTCCTTAGGTTCTTTGGTTTTGACATTCGTCCACCTTAAAAATATATATATATATATATATTTGACATCAAAATAAAATATAAAAAAAAATGTATCATGTATATATACATATATATAAATAAAACTTCTATAAATTCAAGAATAAAGAAAGTAAAATTCATATAATTTTCAAGTATATATATAATATGTGATATATGATAAGATATATATATATACAATAAGATTTCCCATAAGATTTTTTTTAAATCTTAAAATTCAAAAATTATCGAAAAACTATTTTCATTCCAATTTTTTTTTTTTTTTAAGGCGAACCTAAAATATAGTATATATATTTTTTCTTCTAATGTTTTTCATTCCCCTAATTTAACTCCGTATTTATAAATTCGCGGTCATTTTTAAAAAAAATTTAAAATATAAAAAATTATATATTCAAAAAATTCAAAACTCTAGAAATTCAAGAATAAAAATGACGGAACTTATATTATTTTTATATATATATCTGATATATATTTATATAATATTATAAGATAATATAATATAAATATATGTAATATAGGATTTTTATTCCCCTTTTTTCTCTCCTATGTATTATTCAGGTACGCATTCATTTTTTCCGGCTTCAACTCCATATCCACCTAAAATAAATTAAAAATCTATCATTTTAAAAAACAATTTTAAAAATATGAAAAATCATATTATTCAAAAAACTCAAGGGTGTGTTTCTTTATGTTGGGTTTGGGAAGATTGAGTTTGGGTTTGGTTTGGATTTGAATTTTTTAGAAGTTTTGGAATCCGCATTTCTTTTGGTATAGTAAGTTTTGTTGGGGTTTGGAGAGTTTTATTGAATAGTGATTTGATAGGTGATGATTGGAGTGATGAGATTTTTAATTTAATTAAAAATAATTTATATTAAATATAAAAGTAATGGAATATATACGAAGAGTTCTTTTTTTCTCCTTTATTATTATTTTTTTCATCCATAACTAAAAAAAAAAAAAAAATTTCGGATCTACTTCTAACCCTTGCTTACAGCTACATGCGGGAAAACAAGCGTGTGCACGGCTATGCATGAGTCTGTGGTTGTTCGGAAACAACTGTAAATGCACCGGACAGGGAAATGCAGCCACATTTGAATGCCGGTGGTCGATTGTTGTTTGTTGTGTGCTTCGCGTAACACCAAAAGCAGCATAATAGAATAAATCAAGCACGACCGTGCTCGTTCCGTATAAGTGGTTGCTTCCCGTAGAAATTGAAGCAGAAAAATAGGCCTAAGTGCACGGCCGTGCATAACTATCCATATTCTTCTGGCTCCCATATGAAACCCTTAGCGAAGAATGAAGGCAACGTCGGATTGGTGTGTACGATGGTCCTATAACAGATTTATCGAAAATTGCACGAATTTACCAAATGGACTAACCAATTAATCCCAAATTGAAATGTAGTTCAACTTTCCTTACTTCTTTACGCTCAACCGCCGGAAACTCTATCCTCCGTCAACGTGCGTCCCCTGAAATCCTTCGCGGCAATCCTCTGCTTCACTCACCGAAGAAATCGCTAAAGTCCCACGATCTTTGCTCTGTGACAAAGGGTGTGAAGAAAATTTGGGAGAAAAATAAAGAGTATGAATGGAAGATGAGAAATAATGGAGGAGGAAGAAGAAGCAGAGTAACGATGAAATGGTGGAGGAGGGAGATATACGTGTAGTCAACGCCCATGAACCTACGTTGCAGACTTTGTTCCCTAGGTCCGCCTCGCGCCAAAATAGTATTCTAAAGTAAATAAATAGGAGGTTTGGGAGGAATTGTGCCAAAAAAACACACCCCAAAACTCTACAAACTCAAGAATAAAAATGATAGAACTTACATTCTTCTTAAATATATATGTGATATATATATAATACGATAAGATAATATAAGCTAAATATATGTAATAAAGAATTTTGCATAATTTTTTTGTTTTTTGTTTTTTGTTTTTTTTTTATCAATTTTCTGAAATTTCTATAAAAGATATTATTTTTATTATTATTTTTTTTAATGTAGTCATCCTAATTACTATGATTGTCATAAATAGATTATTAATTATGTTAAAAAAATATAAAAATTTCAAATTGATATAATTTTTCGTAAAAATCAAAATTATCCATATGAAATTATATATATTTTAATTATAAAAAAATTCAAAAATTGTGCTTCTTGAAATTGAGAACGTCCCACGCTATTCTTTTATATATATATATATATATATATATTAGATTAGATATTATGCTTAACTTATTAAATGTGTGTTCTTCTATCAAAATTTTAAGAAATTATTTAATAATTTTCTTTGATAAAAAATATCAAATCAAATATCTATTTTTTATTTTTATATCATATTAAAAATAAATTTTACATTCAAAATACTACATCACTCTTATTTATATCAATCATACAACTGTTTTAATTCAAAATTTTTACTATTCAAACCCCAAAACAAATTCAAACATACAAACAAATACACTGATAATAGGTAAAATTGTTCATAATTCCCATGCGATTTCAAAATTCTGCGTAAGTACTTTAAAAATTGCATGATACTCCCTTATACTTTAAAGAACGTTGCATTGAACCCCACTCCCACGTAGTCTTCCTTGTGAGATGAGAAGATGGTTTTCTATCAATATTTGTGTTATGATTAACATTGAGTAATATTGTATATGATAAAACCACTGCAACATTATTTTCTATCCATGTTTTTTTGTATGATAGGGGGTTTAATGCAATATTTTTCAAAGTATCATGCAACATTTTTGCATGCAATTTTTAAAGTAAAGGAAAAATTTACGCTGGCTTCGAAACCACAAGGGAGTATGAACAATTTTGCGCTGATAGTATATAAAAAAACTAGCGAATAAACCCGTGCTATGCACGGGTGTATGCATGAATAATATTTTTAAAATTAATAAAGAACATATAGTTTCTCATGTGTATAAAAATATAATTTAAATTTAAATAAATGTAACAAATATCATAACAAAATTTATGATAATAAAAATATAAAATACCATATTTCATACAAATAGAAAATAAAGAAAGAAATATAGTCAGGAAAAGAACTTTCAATAATTTTTTTATTCATTTAAAAAAAAACTAATGTCAAATTATAAGTTTTAATTATGAAGAATTTTCATACTAATGGTCATTCACTATAATAGAGAATGTTATAATTTCAACAATTTAAAAATATAATCATATTAAAAATAATCTAAATAATAAGAATATTGATTATACGAAGCAACAATTATTTAAAATGATATACGAATTGATCGAATTATGATTAAAAGTAAAATAAATTAAGATAATTTATTGAAATAATAGTAAATAAATAGGGATATATATACACATATGAGAATATATATATCAAAATTAAAATAAATTAAACATATAAAATGAAAAACCACTAACTAATTATTTGAATAAGATGATTAAAAAATAAAAGAAATAGAAAAATTATTGAAATAATAAAATATATTCAATCAAATAATAATATGAAATAATTAATTGGACAAAGTAATATAAATATAACAAAATTGCATGCGTTTATCTTGATCCAGTGGACACATCCATATCCTCTTCGTGTATATTTATAAAATCTAATAACTAATATATTTAATTTTTCATGATAAATAAAGACAATAAAAAATAAAATAAATAACATAATGCTACCTTAATATTTGCGGTATTACCATGTTAATTATTCTATCAGAATAAAAGATTATATAACCTCGTCATTTTAAAAATAATTGAAAAATAATATTATTTCTATCCGGCTCTAGGGTCCCATTTACTTTTTGCGTGTTAATATTTGAATATTAATTATTATATCAAAATGTAGTACAAATTAAGAAAAAATTATAAAAATACTTTTATTAGTATCTTATAATACTAAAAGAAGTATATTTGTACACAAAATTATACAAATATAATGATATTTTCAATGTTAAGTATAATGTCGCAAAAAATAAATGTAATCCTTAGAGATAGACGGAGGGAGTATCATATTAATAATAATTTAAATAATAAGAATATTGAAAATATGAAACAATAATTTTTTACAGTAATATACCAATGGATTAAATTATTATTAACAACTACTCCATTCGTCCCAACTCAAAGTAACATTTTTATCATTTTCATATGTCTCATTCCCAAGTATCTCTTTCCTATTTTTAGTAAAGTAATCATACACCAATACCGTTAACTTTTACCTATATTACAAATATATCATTACACATAAAATTACTTTTTAAATAAAGTTAAAGGACAAAAATGTCAAAACCTCTTACACACTTTCACTAACTAATAAAATACTATTATTTCTTAATCTATTACAACACCTCAAAAGTCCCTTTGGACCGGGATGAAGAGAGTAAAATAAATTAAAAAAATTATTGAAATAATAGTAAAAAGTAAGTATATACACACCCGTGTAATATCAAAATTCAAAAAATATAAAATTACTAACTAATTACTTCAATAAGGTGATAAAAAAAAATAAAAATAATACTATAAAATTTTAAAGTAATATATTTAAAAAAATAATATATTCTATCAAAGGCACCTATCAATTATCAATTTTACAATATCAATATAATAATGAATAAACAAATTATCGAAAAAAGAATATAAGATAATAAATTAAATAAAGTAATATATATACAATAATTGTTTACATTCATATTCATATTGTAGATAATAAATTAAATAAAGTAATATATATACAATAATTGTTTACATTCATATTCATATTGTAGAGACACATCATACTCATTTGAATTTAAATTAAACAAAAAATATATACATATTTATATTTTAAAAATTATGAATAATAAATTTGATATCAACTGAGTATGAATATTACAATAAATAAAAGTAATATAAGTAAAAATATGTCAATCTTCAATATCAATAACTCAACTAACAAAAAATAGAATATAGTCTATAAAAAATAACACATATGCAAACTATCAATTTTACGGTACCAATAAATCAATAGAATAAAAAAATAATAAAAAATTGAAAAAATAACTTGAACAAACTAATATAAATACCGTTGAAACATGACTTGGATTTAGTTGTCTACTCGACATGAAATTAAAACGAAAAAGTTGTTTCAATTGGTCGGGTTTTCTTTTCTGGCCCATCTTAATTAATAACAAATGGGCTTAGGGTTTAGGGAGTTTTTGGAGGTGCTTATAAATAGATAGTTATGCCTCATAGTCATATTAAATTGTAACTCTCTGAATCAGTATAATAAAATATATCCGATTCTTGCCAATGGACATAGGTTAATACACCATCACCAAACCACGTAAAACCTCTATATTCTTTATTTGCGTTCTTTCTCGTTTCCACATAACAAGCGGTATCAAAGTCATATCTTATTGATTAAAGATGTCTTTTGAAGAAGTTTAATGGGTTGAATGACTTCATGCTCTAGATGGTCAAGATGAGAGCACTTTTGGTTCAACAGGAATATGCGGCTGCGTTGGAGGGGGAAGACAAGTTTCCTAAAGACACGAATGAGGAAGTAAAGAATGAGATTTTGGCAAACGCTCATTCCGCTATCTTATTATCAGTTACTGATGAGTTGTTACAAGAGATTGTTGATCAGAAATAAACTTCGGGTTATGGGATAAATTGTGTGAGAAGTACCAGAACAACTCTCTCACGAACAGGCTATATCAGAAGCAACAACTTTACACCATCCGGATGTTTGAAAGTACTCAGATAAATGATCATCTTGATCTTCAAGTGATTGTGGTTAAAATAAATGATGAAGATCAAGCTCTAATTTTACTATGTTCACTACCTGGTTCATATGAGAATTTCGTGGATACTATGATATATGGTAGAACTACAATTTCTGTTAATGATGTGAAAAATGCTCTTATGTCTAAAGAATCAAAAACAAAGATTTTTGGGGAAGAGGGTTCTGGTTCAGGTTTGTTTTCAGGTAGAGAAAGACCACAGAGAGGGGTAATGGGAATGGGAGGTCGTATTCAAAATCAAAATCCTCTAGCAAAGATAAGTGTTATCTGTGCAATGAGAAGGGCCACATTAAAAAGGACTATCCACAGAAGAAGGGAAATACAAAAGTTGAGTCTAGTAACATCTGTAGTGCTGTTGTGGTACAAGACAGTTTTGATGATAGAGACTCTGGTGAAGTTCTGACAGTGTGTAGTGCTAGTACTACTAATACCTGGATTATGGATACTAGTGTTTTTTAACATATGACATTCTCTCGTGATCTATTCACTTCTTTCAAGGAGTGGAATAGAATGATGAAGTTAGGTGATGATGGGGTTATGACCACAAATGGAGGAGGATAGAGCAGATAAAATTGTATGACGGTATTGCTAGGAAATTTGATTGGTGGTATGTTCTTAAACTCAGAAAGAATTTGATTTCTCCTAGCACCTTAGCCAAGAATGGTTTCAAATATCATGTTGAAGGTGAGTAGATGAAAGTTATGAAAGTTGCTCTGGTGCTGATGAAGGAAAAATTGCAGTATGAAATTTATTTCTTACAGGACAGTTTAGTGATGAGAACGGTGGCGGTATCCCAGTCCTTGGACAATCATGTTACATGACAAATATGTGGCACCATGGATTGGATCACATGAGTAAGTAGGGGTTGTCTATACTGAAAAAGCAGGATTCATTTTTTAGGGACGTGACATATAAAATTCAAGTATGTGAAGCTTGTGTAAAAGGGAAA